CTAGTTACAATGTGAACTCTCAGTTAATCAAGGCCAGCCGGGTCTACAAAACAAGTTTCAGGACAGCCAAGGCTGTTACACAGAGAAATCCTGTCTCAAATACACACGCACACACACACACACACACACACACACACAGAGAGAGAGAGAGAGAGAGAGAGAGAGAGAGAGAGAGAGAGAAAGAGAGAGAGAGAATCATTAAAATGGCTTAAACTTGGGGCAAAGTCACACATTTTAAAATTCAAGGGGCACAGCTGGACAATGAGCAGAGAGCAGGAGACATGGAGTATTCGATACTAAATGGGATGTTTTCATGAGACCCTTCCCCTCAGAGCTCAGAGATCCATACAGAAGAGGAGGGAAAAGATTGTGAGTGCGGGAGGTGGTAGATGGCTCCGAGGACACAGGAGGACTGATGCTGTGCTGCAACACACATGGGGCTTAAGTAGGCTCAAGCCGTCCTTAGTCTGGAGAGAGGGGCCTGAACACAGGCTCCACCCCTAACCAAGAAGCTATCTGCAATCAATACCCACTTGCAAAGGAAAATTTTGTTTTCTCCAATGGAGTCTAACTAAGTATACTAACCATACCCAGGACAGGCTCTATGCCCTGGTAGTCAGCCAACACAAGATTAACTCAGTGGTATTGGGCTTTTTTTGTTTTGTTTTGTTTTTTAAAGAGGGAGTTGGGTGGGTGTGGCGATATGGAGGGTCTGGCAGTTGGGGGGACAGCTTGAATCGAATATATTGTATGAAAAAAAAACTCAACATAAATAATTAAGTCGGAACAGTGGTGGCACACCCCTTTAATCCCAGCACTTGGAAGGCAGAGGCAGATGAGTTCGAGGCCACCCTGATCTACAAAGTGAGTTCCAGGACAGTCAGTGCTACACAGAGATACCTCGGGGAAACAAACAAACAAACGAACAACAATAAAAGATTAAAAAATAAATAAATAATTCTACTTCCGGCGTGTGCATCTGGCGTCCATCCACCGCGGGATGGCGGCTCTGAATAGTTGGATGTCCAGGAGCGTTGCCTCCCTGTTCAGGTATGGACAGCGTTGTCCCCGTCGTGGCTATAACTCTAAGAAACGCTGTTTCTCAGCATTGATAAGACCGTAGCACAAAACGATTGGCTGGATTCGGCATGACCCTGTGTGCAGTTCCTATTGCTCAGATATCGGAGCCTCAATCTTAGCATGACTGAGGAAGGCTGTCTGTGGTGACAGATTGCCACCTTTCTGTCCCAACCCACGTATGCTCTGATCGAAGCAAATCACGGAGTATACAAAGGCTGTTTATACATTAGTGTCTCTGAATCGACAATATACAAGTTTACTTGGGAAAATGAACTCACAAGAGGAAGATGAAGTGTGGCAGGTGACAGGGGCCAGAGTTGAGGTGACTTCAAAGCAGCAGGAATACATGAAGCTAGAAACTACTTGGATGACTGCGGTTAGCCTGTCAGAGATGGCGGTAAATTTTTGCTGTATTACTTTGTTTCATGATTATGATTTCAACCTGAGATTTATATCATCTTATTTACTTCTGTATGCTACTTTTGAATATATACTGTATCACATATTTACATAACAAAGTTCTCCAAGTGGCTTTTATTCCTATTGGCCTATGTACACCTTTAATCCCATCACTCTGGGGGCAGAAGCTGGCAAATCTCCAGCCAACCTAGTCCACATAGTGAGCTCTAGGGCCAAGTGGTGAGAGGGCTTCAAAATAATAAATTTAAAAGATGGGTGCTCATAGAAAATTAGTTCAGATTCTTTTTAGTTCACGGGACTTACATCTCTAATGAAGAAACCGAATTAGTTTTGTTGGTAAGGCAAAATAAAACACATCCTGTCCATCAGCATTTTCCCTGTGTGTATATTCATGACTGTGGGATGCTTACGGTGTCATGTCTGTGGTTTCCATGTGCTTTCAACAACATTGATGAGATAGGGCTAAGGAGGAAAATGATTTCAGGCCCAGGGCTAAGCCCAGGCAAGGGTCTTAGCCCCGGGGAATATCACATTCCCAGGCACATAAGGATGATCTACCTGACCCATCAGAGAAACCAAATCCACAACACTAAAAGAGAATGGCCCAGTGGAAACAGAGGTGACCTTTGTCTATTATCTGTGACCTGACAACCATCCTGAGGTCACCCATTAGTTTGACAATTTTAATTTACCTATATTTGGTTTCCTTAATGGTTAATAAGTCTGCAAAGGGAAGATTTGCTTCTTTCCAATATGGTTGTCATTATGTCTACTTGCCTGACTCCCTGACAGAAATCTCTGACAAATTTTTTTTCTAGATTTATTTGTTTTCTTTTGTGTGTTTGAGTGTTTTCCTTTATGTATGTATATATGTATGTATGTGCACTACATGTGTGCGTGGTACCCACAGAGTTCAGAAGAGAACCTCTGGAATTGGAGTTATAGATGGCTGTGAGCTACAATGAGGATGTTGGGAATTGAATCCAAATCCTTCTAATTTAGACTATCAGATGCTGGTATTAGATGTGTGCCACCATGCCTGGCTTCCCACAGTAACATTGATGACAAAAAGTACAGGGACTGAATTCATGTCTGTGGATCAGGAACTATCTAGATAAATACCGCTTCACTCTTACCACAAAAGAGAGCATACTTATTTGAAACATTGATGCCAACTGTCATAAAAGAGTGGCAGCACCCGCATTAATAATAGTGATGAATGCTAAAAAAAACTTATCTTGCTGAGTCCTCAAACTCCACATTTCTCCCCAAAGTGTCATTTAATGTTAGGGACAATGTGTGGAGACAGTGTTTCTTACCTGTCTGTTTTGTAATGTAGAAATGTAGGCCCAGAAAACCTCAGTGAGTTTTCTAAGTCTCACCCCGAGTTCTGAAGCTTCCCAGTGGAGTGTTGCAAACTTCTCACTCCCCTCTGTGAGCATCAGCAGCATTTAGAGATGCAGCCTTAACACCTGCTCTGGAGAAGCTAGAGTAGATCGAGATAAATCTAGGCACATTCTGGAAGTCCAGAGATAATATTCATGGGGAAAGTACTATTTTAGGGTTTTTATGTTGAACAGATCTATCTTTAAACTTCAGACAGGATTTTCCTTTTGGATGTTAAGCAGAGGAGTGCCAATGCTTGAAGGTACTCGATATAGATGAATGAGGGCAGGGAGCCCAGAAATAGGAGGTAACCACGTGTTGTGGGTGGGATGGAATGACTATGCCCCCATTGAACACACCACAAAACAACCTGTGGTGGCCAGACATGACTGGTATGTGCCACTATGAAGTGTCTTTAATAGTGCCTCCTACTCACAGGCTAGTGAGTGCCATCAAAAGTGACCTCAGAAAACTGAAGTCCAGATGATGGTAGGTAAGCTTGAGAACAGTCTGGACCATCAGGGACAGGCTGCTCAGAGACAGACTGAGCAGAGTGCTTGCTTGAGAGTGTAAAGTATGTGGGTCAGGGAGACCTGGTGTCACGTCTGCCCCACTTGTGCAAGTCTGTTTCTCTACCAAGTAAGGATTACAGGATGAGAAGTTTGTGCTCCACAGCACACGCGCTTTATTGCAGCAAAGACAGTACACACTACACAAAGCCAGAGTCCCCTGCATCACAAGCCACAGGGTATCCAGAGAGGGACCCTGTCCAGGTGGGTCCCTGGGGAATCTGGGTTTATACGCTTTTGTTTGTTTGGTTCTTGTTATTTTGAGACAGGGTTTCTCTGTGTCAACAGTCCTGGCTGTCCTATATCTCACTCTGTAGACCAGGCTGGCCTCAAACCCATAGAGATCTGCCTGCCTTTGCCTCTTGAGTTTGGGGATTGAAGGTGTGGGTACCCACCACCAGGTGGGGCAGTTTATATGCTTTTTAATAAGGTGTTTAGCAAAACTTAGCTCTTTTTCCCTTTCTTGAATTAGACTGTGCAGGATGCATTTAGCTGGTTGGGACATTTTAAATGATAGCAGGGACCTGGATGTATGCAATGTACAAGGGGACTTTTGAAATTCTTGGGAAGACAAAAGTCCACGGAGAGCCACCGGGCCTTGTTATCATCCTATTAGGCAAGCTGCTTGATAAGCAAACTGCTCCTTCAGGCCAGTCTTCACCAGATTCACTTGGGTGAAAACAGGAGGGAACTGTTGGCCTTCTTGGATGGCTTCCTGGGCAGTTTGGGAATGTAAGAGTGTGTCTGGGCTGACAACCATGCCTCCCTCTTGTACAGTGTAATAAAAGGCTGTGTTTGAATTTGAGTATTATGTTGGAACATCGTTGCTTCCATCGTCTTAGGTTTTATAGAAGTTACAACGAACATTAGAAACAAACGAGGATACTACTGAACTTTTGTTTGAGGAAAAGAAATTGACTGATGCCAGGCGGTGGTGGTAGAAGCAGAAGGATCTCTGAGTTCCAGGCCATCCTGACGGGTCTACAGAGCAAGTTTCAAGACAGCCTGTCTTAAAAAAAAAAAAAAAAAGAAAAGAAAAGAAAGGAAGGAAGGAAGGAAGAAATTGGACTGTTTAGACAAAAATAATAACAATAAATTGTAGGGTCAACAAACTTGTTAGAAGCAAAATTCACGGTAAGAACAGCGTAAGCACCAGAAAGAGAAGAGTAATACTTGAGCCAGGCTGTGGGAAAGCAGAGGGGATGCTGTAAGCCTTAGAGCAAAATACAAAATTTGCTACAATTAATGAGTCAATAAAATAGCTAAAATGGGATGATGGTAAACTCACACAGGAAGGAAGAAGGTCGCAAGAGGGCCGTGATCTATGCAGATAAGGGCGCGCGGACAGGGGCTGCCACTTCTGCATCTCTTAGGAAACCGTAGGGATTTTTTTCATGGCTTGGGAAGCAAAGCCGAACCATAGGTGGCAAATAGCCTTAGAAAACATTAAGTGTCCAGAAAGCTAGCAACTGCACGCGCTGGAGTGACGGTGTGCTCAGAGCGCAAGGCGGGCGCAGCTGAGTCGGGCCTGCGCGGGCAGAACGCATACTTACCTGGCAGAGGCGGAACCGTGACCAAAAAGGTGGTTTTCCTGGGGAGAGATCTACACTTGCGGTGTTTTGATGCCCGCGATTTTCTCAAATTCGGGAAACGCAACTGCATAATCTGTGGTAGTGGGGAACTGCATTTGCGGTCTACCCTGGTTTTTGTTGTAACAAAAAAAAAAAAACAAAAAAACAAAACAAAAAAAAAAAAACAAAAACAAAAAACAGGAACTTTTGTTTTGCTGCCAGTTTCTTTTAAGTGTACTTTGCTAGGTTTTTATTTTTTCGAAGTTCCCTTATCACCCATTTTTCATCCACTTAAAACACTTGAGATGTTTTCGTCATTCACACGTGCCTACTGCTAAAGGGTTCTTCCCCACCCCACCCCCGCCTTTGTCTTTTCTGATCTGTAATACTTGAAATGAGATTGTAATAGGCCAACGAAGTTTGACTTTTGGATTTTTATGTGTGAATATTTTACTTACTTTGTACAGTGAGGCTGGCACCATGGAGGTCGGAAAACAGTATTTGTGTGTGTTCTTGGAGTCGAACCTAGGTTTGTGGAAATTTTACCCTGGTGGGAACTAAAAGTTTTAGCTAAGCATATAGTTAGCATTGCAGTAGTCCCAGTTCTTTGGGTTTGGAACCTTCTAAAGTTTTTTGTTTGGTTGGTTGGTTTTTTGTTTGTTATTTTGTTTTTGTTTGTTTGTTTGTTTGTTTCCTTTTTCTAGTTCTACATTTAGGATTTGATGTAGTTGCTGTCTTCATACAAAGTTGTCGTCAGAAAGGATGGTTGCGGTGAGAGACATTCTTACCCTGAGACTTCCAGTTGGGTCTTCATTAACTGCGGTTGAGGGTTGATGAGAAACACAGGGACAGGATCCTGTTTGGTTGTTTCGTCTTTGGTTGGTTTCTTATTGTTGTTTGTTTTGTTTTGTTTTTAGGTGGTGGAATTGGTTGTTGATTTGTTTTGTTTTGTTTTTGTTGGTGTTTTTAGAGACAAGTCCACTATTCAGCTCTGCCTGGTCTGGAGATTACTATGTAGATAAGGATGACCTCAAACTCACAGATTCTCCTGCTGGGTTAAAGGTGTGTGCCACCGTAGCTGGGTTTAACCCCAGCAAACTTGACAGTGACCTCCCTGTCTTACAGCCAGGCGTTACCATATAACTCTGTTACAGTCTAAAGCAGGTAGGACGAAGCCTGTGGGGGTAGCACTCTTTCTGAATAAAAAACATGTTTGAATACCTTCTGTCTGCCCATCCTATCTTCTTTTTTTTTCTGTCTAGAATATGGGTGTGAAGCCGTCTTTTGCCATGAGAATAAAAACCGCAGGCTAAAGGAATGGAGACAGGAAGAATCTGGAAGCAGTTGAACAACTGTGGTAGTGGTATTCGATTATTCGCAGATTTGTGCCGGGATGTTCTCTGCTCGCAGAAAAAAAAAAGGTTATGAGTGAAGGGAGTAGAGAAGACTGAACTGCATTGGCCGGGAATCGAACCCGGGTCTCCCGCGTGGGAGGCGAGAATTCTACCATTGAACCACCAATGCACCCTTAAAGAACCCATCTGACAGCTCATTGACAAAAGGTAAGAGAAGCTAAATTTCCACCGAAAAACAGCAATGTAAACTAACGTTTTGAATTTTCCAATGTTGAGGAAATGCAAGTCCTCGTACATGCTAGGCTGTGATAAATCTGGGCCAGATTTGCCACTCAAGGAGTTTCGAGGCATGACCTCTAGAATTTCTTCTACTTCTGCCAGACTTTATAGCTCATTAGAAGGGAAATGCTAATTCAGTTCAAACTCGTAGCTCTGAAAAGCCTCCCTTGAAATTTACCAATGCCCAAACTATGCTCAACTGAGAAGTAGTCAAAGGCACACGACATAGATAGCGGGATAGTTCCATAACAAAGCCCGAGCTGATCTGTGTGAACAGACTGATGAAAAGCCTTCTCTGAGCAGTGTTTATTCTATTCCCACTGTATCGGACAGGAAGGAGGGAGAGGCGCGAACAAAACCAGCCACTGGCCTTCAGGTTTACGGACTGTTTTGTTCAGCAGCTGCTCTTCCAGGACGTTACAGAAGTGACCAGTGTGTGAAAAAAAAGTAGTGAACTACTCCAAAGCTACACAAAGAATCCCTTCTAAAAAAGCCAAAAACAAACAAAAAGTAGCAAACTAACCAAGTACCCATTTGTGTGAAAACTCACACTGTTCTCTCTCTCTTTTAACTTTTATTTATTCTTTGTGGACTTCACATTATACATTCCCATCCCACCCATCTCCCTATACCATTTTTAAAACCACCCAGGAGGGCAAAAAGCAAAAAGGGAGAGGCAGAAATTCATCCACACACCCACTCTCCCGCTCCACCTGAGACACTGCTGATGCTGAAATCTGAGCACTGGTGGACAGAGGTGGAAGGAGAATTGGATGTGACTGTTCATGTTGACCTGGGGTGGGTGATGACTAATAGGTCACCTGCACCATGTGTGATGACAGAAATCAACCTTCCATCACGTATCCATCTAGGTGATGGCTCATTTTGTCAGTCATGATAGCCATAAAAAAATACTTGAGGAATGTTGTTGTGTTTGATTTTATCTTTTTGCCTAGAGTTTACTTACAGTACTGCTGTGGAATGAGAACGCTGATGTCCCTTCACATTTGGCTCGGAATTCCCAGGCAAAAGGAAAAGAGGAGGAGGAAGAGATGGAGAGAGGACAGATCTGGCCACACAGCTGCATTACCCTAAGCTCCAGGTGAGATGGACTGATGCAGCCCCTGGTGTTCTGAAAAACAAAACAAAGACTCGCTTTTAAGAGAAACTTACTTTGATTCTTTTAGAAGTTCAGGCTCTGTCACTGGAGAGACACATCCCAAAGTCTGAGTTGATCTTCATCAGGACTTTGAAACATTCACATCCAGTGGGCACAGGACTTTTCCTCATGTTTGCTCTTATTGGCATTGTGTTAGGAGTAAAGTTTCTTCATGCTGACCTGGGCCCAGAGCTGCGCCAGCCACAAATAACACACAGAGACTCTGTATTAGATATGTTATTGGCCAGGTACTAATTTCTTATGGGCTAGCTCTGTCTTAATGATTAACCCATTTCTATTAATCTAAGTATTTCCACGTGGTCTCTTCTTACCGGAGAGTGGGATCCGTGTTCTGTTCTCTCCAATTTCTACATGCTGACTCCTCCCTACTACTTCCTCAAATCCTCCTTGTCTCCTAGTCTCACCTATCTTGCTTTCCTATTGGCCAACAGTGCTTTATTCATTAACCAGTATGAGAAACATAGTTACAGAATGGCATCTCCCATCAACATTGGTGTCCCTAACCTTGGAAGCAAGGATGTAGGAAAAGTAATGTCAGGGATAAATCCTCACCTCCTAGTTAGGAAAAGCTATTATGTACTAAGAACAAGAGTCATCCCAAAGGTCTCATAGCTCAGCTCTGTGAGAGGCTTTATACAGTTGGCGCTTTCTAACCTCTGACCTGATAACAGCACCAATAAACCCAAATAATGGTCAACACATAATTAATTTAGGGCAGGTGCAGAAAGCTTTATTAAAATATGGTAATGGAGGACTGGAGAGATGAGTCAGAGGATCCAGGTTTGATTACAGCCCCAGGAAATCTGACATTCTCTTGTGGCTTCACTGGGCACCAGACATGTATGTAGTACATAGGCATACATGCAGGTGAAACATATATAAAATTCTAATTTCATAAAATATATAATATTAATGCCCTCCTAGTCCCTGGTATTAAAATATATAAGCCACAAATACAGCGTGAAGACTGGCTATCAGACTTGTAAGAAAGGATCCCCATTGGATCAGCCCCTCACCAGACAAAGAGGACCTTCCTTACCAGGTCATCTTGAGCAACCTCCTTCAATCAAACTACAATACATTCTTTGTGGATTTACATCTGTAGGGTTAAAATTGTCCCTGCCAAGACTCCATAGCCTCAAGCAAATCATGAAGAGAAAGCCATCATCGTATCTGTGTGATGACATCCTAATTCACATTGGAATCCTCCTATATTTGTAATTAAGAAAAAAAATCAGGTAAATGGGAATTTTTACAAGTTCTTAGACAACTTAACAAAAGCATGGAACTCATTGGTGCTTTGCAACCAGGATTGCCTGCTCTATCAGCCATTCCTAGAGATACCTTTTAGATAACTCCATAATTGAAAGATTGGTTTTGTATCATTCCTCTGGCTCCCAGGGATTGTAAAAGGTTTACATTCAGTGTGCCACCAGAGAATTTTAGAGAGCCTGTGGCCAGAAACCAGAGGACAGCTTTGAACTTCTAACCTTCTGCCTCTATCTCCCAAGTGATGGCATGGCAAGTGTGTAGCACACCATTGTCAGCTCTGTGGAAAATTGAAACATGTCTCCTATGTATGATATGCAATGTGAGGCTGGACCTTTGTGGATCCTATGGTGAGGGACAAACAAGCCAGTATGTAGAACTTACATAGAAAGTTTATCGGGGGAAGGGAAGGGAGTAATGGAAGGGGAGGGAAGAGAGAGAGGGAAGGGAGAAGAGAAAAACAGAGAGAGAGAGAGAGAGAGAGAGCCCTGCCTCTTTGGAGAAATAACAGAAAGAGAGAGAGAGGATGGGTCATGATTGTCTCTTAAAGGGACCTTTTCGCCTTCATACAGAGCCAGGGGCTGACTCTTCCAGGTCCCCAAGGAGCAGGGCCAGGTTTGCCTAGATGATAACATCCTACATTTTAGGTAGGTAGGTACTCTAACATCTGAGCTATATCTCTACTAGCCTTATTAACATTTTTTAAAAATCAGTAATCCTACTAGCTAAGAAATAGTATCTGGTGTTCATTTTCAATCAAGTGGCTAATGATGCTGAATACCTTTCAGAACATGCACTTGTTGGCCAGTTGTATGCTTGCTGTGTAGCTACAAAAGGCTTTGTCTCCTATAAATCGACCTATCTTTTAGTTATTGAGCTGTAATCACTGTTTGTTATTTTGAGGACACAACTTCTCTAAGCAATGCATGAACTGCAACTATATTCTCTCTTTACTGAGAAAGCTTTTCTCTTTCTTGAATGCACTTAAGTGCTTCACGTCTAGATACAGCAGGGTGATGTTGGATACAGGGTTTGAGAGTGTCAATGA